CTCTCTCTCTCTCTCTCTCTCTCTCTCTCTCTCTCTCTCTCTCTCTCTCTCTCCTGGGGTTTGAACCTAGAGGCTCTGCACTGAGCTACATCCCCAGCCCTTTATATTTTTTATTTTGAGAGAGGGTCTAGCTAAGTCACTAAATTGCCCAGGCTCAGTTCAAATTTGCATTCCTTCTGCCTCAACCTTCTTCCACAGTGCTGGGATCACAGCCATGCATCACAACCCAACCCTCTCTCCCTCTCTTTTCTCTACTCTTACATCTCTTTTGAAACCCACATCAGGCACTAGACTTACACATTTCATTCACACATCCAGCATTTATGGCATACCTACTACATATATATGTGGGGGGAATCACACAAATTGTTGGGAAAACAAGAATAGTGTTGAAAAGCTTGCAATTCCTGATTTCTTTTCACTCATATTCACTGAACAAGCACTTCCTGAATGTCTACCAAGTGCCAGGAACAGTGATAGAGGAACTATAAAGAGCAAAGTTTTGGGTGCATTTCAGGATGGTGGAGGGCAGAAGAAGAGACATTTCCCTTCACAACAAAAACAATGCCAAGAGCATACAGTGAAACTCCAACAAGCACACCCCTAATCTTAATGCTAATGAGAAGTTAAATCACCGATTCCCTAGCTCTTTTGTTAGCTCATCTGTTCTCTTACACATACTCTTCCCCCAGCACACTCAAAATGGAGTGAAGTGGTTTTTGTCTTTAGTTTTAATTAAAGGATCAAATTTTCTTTTGTTGTGTGAGGTTTGTGATTGTCCTTGAGATAATGTAAAGCACTCAGGTCTAAGAATGTTGGATTTTGTCCTGGTTGCACTGCTGGAAATAATCTCTGACCACATCTCTAAAGCTGCACAGAGCAATACCACAGGAGGTTGCCACCAACAAACTAAAGACACATTCAGAGGAATTTTCCCAAAAGAATCTTGGTTTAGACTCAGTAATTCGTATAGTATATTTGTGGATGGATTCCACATGTGCCTTGGTATGAGGGAGAAGATGGAAACTCATTTATACAAGGCCAAAGTCCCAGAAGGCAAAGAGTTATGTAATCCCCAGTATCAGGATGGGCAGGGTCTTCTCACCATCCACAGCCCTAACAGCTTGAATCCAAAGGATGTGGGAGATGTTTTCCATTTAAGGCTCCTGTAGCCCCTCCTGGCTGCCAGGTAAACATTTCCAGAGATCATTTCTGTACTTCCTTAAAACAAGTTTCTTATAATAGGATTCTAATTTGTTTTAGACTTAATAAAAGAGGCAAATGTTACCCTTTAGGTTCTCTACACCCATCTGACTTCTATAATGTAAATTCCTTCTAAATTCCTGCTTGCTTATTTCAAGGTCAGGACAATTTTTTAAAAGAAACATTCAATAAAAACCACAATATTCCAGCACTTTACTAACCAGAAATAAATCAGCTAGTTTATAAGCCTATCATGACATTCTTGTGAAGACAATCAGGAAATGTAAACCAAATGGTAATGATTCATTTAGAAAGATTGACAGTAGGCTGAGAAACGTGATCCAAAAATTACAGGGTGGATAATCATTACCATTTGACATCAATTCAGAGTTGTATTTCTAGTCACATACCATGGGTTATTTGTCGTCTTTAATACTAGCAATGACTTGGATGAAGACAGAAGGATTAATTTATCTATTTTGTGGAGAATATCTATTTCTTCCTGTTCTCACAATGCTCACATCCAAGCCTCACTCCCAGCAGAACAACCGCTCATTACTCACTGCTGTTGGCTTTTCTTCATGCAAGTCTCTCCCTCTGTCCCTCTCCCTCTCTCTCTCTCACACACACACACACACACACACACACACACACACACCTCCCAATGAGAGGTCTGAGAATCCTTGTCATGTTTTAGAAAAAATATAATCACAATAAGCTTGATCAGTACAGTGACAAGGAATTTAAGACATAAAGTATATATTTATTTATACATTCATTTATTCAGGCCTCACTGTCTTCTAGGTGCCTTATGTACCATATCTCTAATTCATCCAGTAACACATTTTTCTGATGTAGAAACTGAGGCTGAGTGAGCCACCTGGAGACCAATTTGAGCCCAGGTCTACCTGACTCCAATGCTCATTGTGTCTACCTAATACCATGCCACCCTCGCTGTCTTCTTAATTGTGCTGATTTCCAGAGCAGTAAGAGCAGTATTTTTGCAAGGATATTGACACAGTATAGCAGCCTATAAAGCATACCAGTACCAACAGAATGACTGGAACTAAGATAAGATAAATCATTATCTTCAGGTATGCAGAAGGAAATCAAATTTATTAGTGATCAGACTAGAAGTTAGAAATAACTTGCTGGGACTTCTTGCAAGGATATAGGACAATGAGATACATCCTAACTCATAGGTTACTCTCTAATTGCCAAAAAAGTTGGAGGCTTCATTTTAAGCAGAAGCTAGGGAAGTCACCTGGCTTCCTATTATGATTCTGCAAGTTATTTCAGGCCTGCAGCGTGACAGAGAGTGATGGTAGCAGAGGGGGTGGAGAGACAAGAGTAGAAGAGAGGCTTCAAGAAGTATAACAGTGTACCTTGGGGACAGACTGATACTCTTGAGCTGTTGAGTGAATAGTACAACACCCAATGTATTCTTAGACACAGACAATTGCTTTTATGAAGGTCAGACAAAAGAGTGGCGAATAGAGGCTGAAGTGGTCAGGAAAAGCACTGTCTGCACTGGGAAACTTGAGCAGGACCTTGAATAAAGTATCATTTTGGCAAAGAAAAGAGAAACATCATGTTTTCTCTTCAAATACTCCATAGTGTCAGAGAAATGGAAAAAAAGCATTCCTTTTTCCAAAGGTAGTGCAGATTGAAAGGGTAAAACTTCAAATTCAACAAATCTGACTTCTGCTACCTGAAAATAACCTCTCACTTTTCCTGAGCTTTCATGACCATTAATTTCTAACCTGATGATACACCTGTCAATATGCTGTTCGGCAGAATGCAATCTGTGTGACCTCATGGGGTCATATGGCAAGAAATTTGCATACAAAGTGTGCTGAAGATATAGACCAATGGGAATTGGCATCCACTTTTAGGGGGTAAAACATATAAACTGGAATCACTATATTGTAAAAAAAAAGTTTGGCAGAATCTAATAAAGTCAAAGTTAAACTTTAAAATAAAACAAAAGCTCTGCAAAGCATGTACAGTTGTCCTTCTCTTCAGACAAGGAGCCTGAAGTTCACACAGTCAGTGGTGACAGAGCTGGACACAAAGCCAGGCCTACAAGCATGAAGCCCCTTGCTCTTTCCACTATGCTTCAATCCACTGACTCTTTCATTCCTGCCTTCCTTATCATTTACGTGGCCTCCTGGAAATAATTTGGCCCAAATTAAGCAGGAAGCTTTCCAACCTTCACATATTAGTTTATATCAAACATAGGCCATTCTTTTCCAAGATCGCAAAGGTGGAAGGACACAACAGGAGACAGGCTACAGCATGTGAAAGAATGTGTGCTTGCTAGACTGAGATTCAGGTCCAACTCTTCATGATTCATGGAATTGGAGAGTACATAAAATGGCAGTGCTCACATTACACAGCTGGGGACTGATGTCCAGGAGATTTTACAATCGTTTGGTCTTTAGTGAAGGATGCCAGTATTTGGATGCATCTTTTCGGTGTAAAGCAAGCTGCTTGTTTAGTAGTGTTTTAAGCTATAGGCCCTCTGATCATTAAATTATTTGTTCTCAAATTCAGCTGTGCATTAGAATCATTTGGGGAGATTTTATGTAGTCAAAAGGATTTTTAAAGAAATATGTTGCATGTTATTATCAGCCATGGTCTCTCATGCCTGTGATATATAGCATAGCTCACAGTCTTGGCTCCACACGGAATCATCAGGAGAGTTTAAAAAGTATGGATGCCTGAGCCCCATTCCAAAAGATTCTAACTTGTTGGCATTTAAGGATTTTTAAAATCTTCCCACATAACGATAGGGATTCATTCCAGTGTCTCTCTTCCCTGACATAAAGAAATCTGGGAAAAGAGGAAAGAAGAAGCTTTGGGTTTAGTTAGAAATGGGTTGATTCCCAGCTGATGACTTTGGACTTTCTCTCTGAACCATAGTTTTCTTATTATAAACTGGTGAAAATAATGCTAAATTCAGACAGTTATGCTCTATCACACAGCAGCTGGGAAAGACATTTCATCCTCTTTCCCTGACAAAACAAACCCTCCATTCCCAGAGCCACCCTCATGCAGCTGTGAGCATTCAGAGGTTGGAAACTTCACTCAGTGCAACAGGCTTTGGTGTCCCTTCCAAAGTCCAACATGTGGCAGGTACAGAGTGAGTGTTTTGCTGAGATACACTGAAAGGTGGCCAGTATTTCCATATGTAAAGAAGATGGGTAGATTTTCTGAAACAATTTTCAAGAAGCCAAAGAGGGAAGGATGAGGAGAGGCTTTGCTGGAAACCATGAGAGCACCCTAAAAAGAACAGAGGATGTGTTCTAGCAAGGCGGAGACAATGGGGGAAGTGGGCAGCATGGCCATTCCTAGAGGATCTTTGTATCAGGCAGAGAGTTTCGATTCTGTTAGGCAGTTACTGCGGCTTTGTTTCTCTACAGATTCCATGATGTTACCTCACCTTTCCATTGAGCAGGTAGGTGGCGGGCTGCATTATGTTCATCAAAACTCCCACAGGACTCCAGCTAAATTTGTATCTCAAAGGATTATCTGAGTGTTCAGGGGCTGGAATCCCACCACAATAGGAAGTATAAGATTCAATCTGCAAGTTTAAAAAAATCAATAAATTAGTGAGAAGTAACGATAAGCTAGGGAAAATGATGTATTTAAATCATTGAGGACAATTATATAAATGGGACACATTTGTGACAGCCTTTTTTTTAATGTTACTACAGTTTTCAAACATAGGTCCTTGCTGCCAAAAACTAGTTCATTTACTCAGAGTAATATATATTTCTGAGTAAGAAGGAAAATACCTCTAGAACTAATGATTAGCATTTTGCTCATTTAAAAATTCAATAATTCTTCTACCATTAATTAAGCCAAAATATTATAATAGCATCTATTTTTCTAGAAACGGGTTGCTATTCCATCATTATTAAGCCAAAATATTATAATAGCATCTATTTCTCTAAAAACTGGTTGCTATTTAATGTACAAATAATGTTTTACTCTAGATATATATGTGCTGCTGCAGAATTCTATTTGAAATTCCTAGTCAAAGAATGAGTTGTAATATAGCAAAAATCTTTTATCAAAATTACAGAAAGATTATTCCTGTAATCAAGAAGCTAGACCTCTTCACGTTTTTCTAAATGGACTCTTAGATACAAAGTGGGCTCACCGTGGCTCCCACTTGTTTGGCCTTATCAATTGTATCCATTGCCAACATATGATCAAGACCAGGGTCCAATCCCAACTCGCCAATGATCGTGATTCCAGCCTCTTCCACACTGTCACAGGTGGAAAGTGGGAAAAGGAAATCAGAGCACAGAAACAACATAAGGAGCCACATCTTTTTTGGAAATGATTGACACTTACCTCTTTTCCAGTTCTTTTAGTGCTGGTGTGATGTAACTTGCTGTGGTCATGTTAACCTTGTTAGTGATACATGCCTGGGCCACAACAGGATGCAGCACATATGGCAACAAGCTGGAAAAGAGAAATAGAGACTAAGCAGAAACTCTTTTCCAACCCACCCTTCCTATGAGCCTTGAAGTATACTGCAGCTCAGTCTTAAGTCACTGATATAATTAAATGTTTCTCTCAGCAATGACCAAGGACTCTGTAAACTGCAGAATAAATTCATTCTGTCATCACATCTAAAAGCCTCCACAATAAGCCTCACTTTACTTTTCCATATATTTCCATCAATTTTTTTCACAAATTATATATGGAACCACAGAAGTTACTGTCATTTTCTGTTAAAAGTGCTTGTCATCCCCCCAAATCACACCCTCCTTTAAGAAAAGATGGACAGAAGGGGACAAGGGGATGAATCTCTTGCAATAGGGAAGGGGTCCAAGAGAACAGGGCAAGGACTGAGGAGGAGTAGAAGGGGAAATAAATAGAATAAAACTATGCCATGAACAGGAACCTAAAAACCTAAATGAATGTAAACATTATATGCCATAACATGAGCTAAGATTGATAAAATCAACAAGAATAAAAATCGGGAGAGGGGAATTAGAGGAAGGAAGGAGGGGAGAGGAAGGGAAAGGGGATTCAAAAATGTCAAAATTCATGGATACACATTTATCTTTTATGCCACTTTTTGGATGTATACTTCAAATTAAAAGTTCATGAGTGAAGAAGAGAGGGCAGGAAAGGAAAAGAAAGAAGGGAGAGAAGGGTTGGGGAGGAGGAGAGGAAAGAAGAGGGAGGGGATGGAAGGAGTAGTGAAGGAGAAGAGAAAGTCAAAGAGAAAAAAGGGAAGAGAAATAACAAAAAATATGTGGAACTCATTTCTTGCCAGATACCTGATGACAAGATCCTGCGTTGCCACCAAGGAGTTCAATTTTTCTTCTTGGTTAGCAATGTTCAGGCTAACAGGATTAATATTGTATTTCTTGCCCAACTGCTTAATTTGACTCATCATGTCAGAGCCTATTTCAACAATAAAAAATCCAAGTTTTAGATTTCCTTCCATTGGATAAAGACCAATACACATTTTAACATTTCCAAAAAATAACTTTTCCAGTTTTAGAAACAAAGTAGTCATCTAAAATTCACAGGGTCCATATGTTATGAAATCAGCTCTTCTTCTTCAAAGATTAGGGTTTATTTACCTAATGTTATTTCTATATTGCTGTCTCTTGACAAATATTCTAATACAGGCCCAGATACGTAGCCAGATCCAAGAACCAAGACCTTTTTCTTGGTATTCATTGAAAGTAACTGAATGCGTTCTCTGTTTAAAAAAAAAAAAGAGGGAGAGGGAAATAATTAAATTTTTTATGTGTTTTGAATAACAGAATCCTGCTGTCCTGAAATCAATCCCAAACCTAGCTTACAAACCAACAACCTCTCCCCATATTACGTACAATTAGAACCTAAACAGGAGTCCCCTATATCATTATCCAGTATTTGAGTCTCATTTTGCTGCTTATTATTATAGATTTCATACAGTAAAGAGCTGCAAACCCTAACATCTCTGAGATGCCATACCATATAGACTTCCATGAATCCTCAGTATTACTAGTAAGGTGAAGATTCTGGACCATTTCTTGGCTTACTCGTAATTGAATAATTGAGTCTCACATGTTATCCTTCCAGGGTACATGATTCAAAATCTTGCCAGGGCCGGGGATAGCCTAGTGGTTCCACCGCCTGCCTTGCAAGTGCAAAGACCCAAGTTTGATCCCTGGAGCCCCCCGCAAAAAATGCCAGAAGTTTTACACTGTACATCTCTTTAGTCCTCATAACAATCCAAGGAGACAACAATCTGAAGTGAAGAAATTTTTTTGTCCTACATTTTTGAGAGTTATATGAAAACAGTCAAAACCATAAATTGGAAATCACAAATATAATGGATTTAATTTAAAAACCAAAGACTAATACTAGGAAGTATTTTAATTTTTGAATAGTTTATTCTGTTAAAACCTGTACCTTCCAAACTGTGACCTCCAAGTCATTTACAAGCCTTACTCACATTTATAAATCCACCGATGCCCAGTACATTTTGGTCCGAACATGGAAATGTAGTTTGAACATTTAAATAAATGTATTTTGAGTAAAATTTCTGAATATCAATGTAAACCCATGGAAGTGGTCTGGTGCCGGGCACTTAAGCAGCAAGTACTGCTATTGTAATCTTTAGGCCATGATGTCTCTCAAAATTTAATCTATGAACCTTTTCATTAATAAGTGAGACAATAAACATAAATACAAAGTCTTCTTGCCTCTGTTATCCCCCAAGACATACATATTACTGATAAGAAGATCTCTCCTCTATTATCCTATTGCATTTCACTTCCTGGCGTACCACTACTCTTTAGTTACAGTATGTTATTTCTAACAATACTTTCTATAGTTTATATTATTAAATCATTACTTCGATATACAAATAGAAAATGTACAAACAGTTCTCCTGAGAATTCAGTTGGTTGAGTTATTTTGTTAAATGTGAATAGACCAGTGGAGCAGAAACAAACACAATCAAGATAACCTCTTTAGTAAATGATGCTGGAAAAACTGGCTATTCATATACAAAAGATTTAAGCTGGACCCATATCTCTCACCTTCTACTGAACTAAAATCAAAATGGATCAAAAATTTAAATATTAAAACAGAAACAACCTACTGGAAGATAAAAAAAGGTAAAACTTTGAAGTCACTAGTGTAGGCAAGGACTTTCTCAACAGAACCCCAATTGTACAAGAAATAACAGCAAGAATCAACAAATAGGATGACATCAAACTAAAAGGCTTCTGCACAGCACAGGAAACAACAGAGTAAAGAGACAACCTACAGAATGGGAAAAAATTTTGCCAGCTATTCAGACAAAGGAACAATATCTAGAATATATAAAGAACCTGCAAAAATAGACCCCCCCCAAATAAAAGACCCAATCAAAAAATGGGCAACTGAAATGACTAGACACTTCTCAGAAGAAGTACAAATGCCATAAACACATGAAAAAATGTTCAACATCTCTGGCCATTAGAGAAATGCAAATTAAAACAATGCTCAGATTTCATCTTATGCCAGAAAGAATAATAATCATCAAGAAATCAAATCATAACAAATACTGGCATGGCTGCAATGAAAAAGGAACCCTTCTACATTGTTGGTGGGAATGTAAACTAGAACAACCATTATGGGAACCAGTATGGAGATTTCTCAAAGAACTAAAATTAGAAATTTCATTGACCCAGCTATTCCCCTTCTAGGTATCTTCTCTGAAGAGCTTAGGTCATCATGTTACAGAGTTACATGCATATCAATGTTCATAGCATCACAACTCATAATAACTAAATCTTGGAAGTACTCTATATGTCTACTGACAGATAAATGGATAAAGAAAATCTGGAATCTACAGGCAATGGAATACTCAGCTATAAAGAAAGATAAATTTGAGACATTTGTAGAAAAATGGAGACTCATTGAAAACACTTGTATTAAGTGAAATAAATCAGTCACACAAGCTTAAATACCATACAGCTTCTCTTGTTTGAGTAATCCAAAGTACAATGATGAGCAAAATGAAGATTGATGAAAGAAAACAGGGAGATAGATCTTTTGCAAATGGGAAGGGGACCAAGAATCTGGGGGGAGGGGCATAAAAAGATGTGTCATGTACATGTAGCAACTACCCTCAATTAATGCAGTCTTTATATGTTACAAACATAAACTAATAATAATAGTAATAATAAAAATAATAAAAGGAGATCTAGAGACAGCGAGAGAAAGGGAGGTGAAGAAGGGAAGTGGATTAAAAAGAATCAACATATGTTCCGTACATGAACTCACTCCCTACAATGAATGTATACACCATGTACTCCAAACATGTACTAAAAAAGGAGAAAAATGGAAATCAAAAGTTTAATGTTTAAAAAGTAATATGGTATAAAAGAATCACACCAGGACTGGGGATTTAGCTCAGTAGTTCCGCTGCCTGCCTCTCAAGCACAAGGTCCCGAGTTCGATCCCTAGCACCAAAAAAAAAAGAAAACAAAAAAAAAAAAAGAATCACACCTTCAACTAACAAAAACACAAATAAATTACAATCAACTAGCAGAAACCAAAATATTCCAAAGAAATGTTTGATTTCAAATTCTGAGCAGTAAAATAAATTTAGCAGAGGTTTAGTTAAGAACCGTTCTAAGAGAACTCTTCTCTTGGGGACATTTACCATACTAATTTTTTTTCTGGAACTGGGGATCAAACTCAGTACCTTGTGCTTGTGAAGCAGGCATGTTGCTGCTGAGCTAAATCCCCAGCATACCATACTATTTTGTGGCACCTTCCTCCCAATAACAATCCCTAGAGAAAACTACCTGTCACCAGTTACTTTCTTCACTACTTCCCTTCATTTCTATTTAAGATTAATTTCCCTACTCATCACACTAAACAAAAAAGCCCAAACCCTTAAATAGAACCCAAACTGAAAGCACCACAGAAAGGGATAATGTGCTTATTTTCCTTTGAGAATATAACAGGAATCACAATATGTGAAATGCTGAGAAAGAAAGAATGGCAACACTTTCGTGACTTTTTCTTGTTTATACATAAATGTGCACAGGTATTACATAGCCAAAATGATGCCATACTATTCCCCAAGGAAAAATAACTCACACAGGTTTCATTTGAACACTTAGAATAGACTTTCTACATTTGCAGACATGATATTAACAAAATTTACATGTTAAATAAACAATATTAAAAACTTTCATTGATGCTTTAAAAAATACTCAACAAATCCAAAATAAGAATAAATGCATAGAATGAAGATTTGAAAAGTACTTACCTGCTCTCTCGGAGTTTCTGGATATATTTATATTTATCAGTCAATAAACCATTAGATGTAATCACTGCCTAAAAGTAAATGCCACAAGACATTTCTTTAGTATCCAACATTTTAATCCTACAAACATGGGCTCATTACTGACAGACAGATAGCAGACTGAAAGAGAAGTAGAGAAAGAAACAGGGACAGAGAATGGGTAAAGGAATGAGGAGAGTTAACATAGTAGAGGGGGAAAAAGTACATTCATGGAAAGAAATTCTTATAACTTACATCTCGCACCACAGGAGAAAAATTCTGACTTTCAAGAGGCTGGGATGCATCTGATAATAACTGAAAGAAAAAGGGATTGGCAAGAGATAAATTATGTCAAAAAGGGGACTTGTTGCTGTTTGTATCCATATTAAAATATTAATAAAAATGTTTAGGAAACAGTTTTCTAAAGACCACTGAATATAAATAATTGGTAATAGAAATCTGCTATAAGCAATCCATTTAGCTCCCAAGAACTTAGTGTTCCAGTGCAAGTTCCAATTTTAAAACTAAAATTTGATTTTAATCATATTTGCTTGCTAAGAAAACAAAAAAGCTTATTTTCCCCAACCAGTTAGATGTATCATATGGAGCATGCTGTAAGTACCACAAGCTCCATTCCCAGCCCTCTCTTTGACAGTCTCTATCCCATTCCAAAAGTTTAGGCAGCTTCACTGGGCAGAGAGAATGGGGTTTTCTATTCAGTAAGCCTGCCAATCCTGTGGTAAGAGTCTCCGTGGGGTCCCTATTAGTTCTATGTAAAGGCATGTCAACATTTCAAAAGTAGTAGAGAAACGAACTTGACCAAGTCGTCCTCAAAGATCATCCTCAACACTCTCTCCTCATTATCTCACCATATGCAGTCAGACAGACAGTGACAAAAGTCTCATATTAACATTCAAGCACCCTCGTAGTCTTTCTGTTTTTTTCCCAAAGTACTCAATCTTGCATATACTGCCAAGGGTACATAATAAAGGGCATATGAATCAGTATTGTTACTTCTAATGGGTAAGAAAGGGCCAGTGAGACAATCTCTCCTCCCTAATCTTAAATGAAGATCTAGACTTCACCCAACGAAGAAAGAGAAATATGCACCTATCTTATGTTGGCACCAGGGAATTTATTTATTGTATTAAAGCAAATATTAAACTATGCTCATGTGCCTAAAGCACAGGTTATGTAAGCTATTTATTACTCACATACAGGTATTTTAAAAAAGTAAAAATATGAATGTATAAGCCAGAAGAAACAGAAGCTCATGGAATCAGCACACTGGGGTCTCCTGCTGCTCCCTTCTTTCAGCATTCTCTGTGGTATTCCCTTCTCAAGAAGATACTTCCACCTCACATATGCCCACAGGCCAAGGCTGTTAGGAGATAATAAAAAAAAGCTCTAACGTCACCTAGCATATAGTTTACTGATCTCTTATGTACTCTTCCCTCTATCCAACCATCTGTAATCCTATTGCTTTATTTAGGCCTCACTGGGATGATGGAAATCACCTCCTCCCTCATTTTCTTCTATCTTTCTCCAGTCTAAAGCATCAATTTGATTCTTTCTCCTACTTAAAATTTAATAACTGTCCATTGTCTTCAGTATGAAGCCTTCAGCTCCCTATGTGGCCTATAAGGCCCTCCGGAGTTCAGCTCTGCCTCTCCAGCCTCTGTTCTTTTTGACTTCTTACCCAACATTGAATCTTGTTCACAACTGGCCTCTACTGCCTACTTGTGCCATGCTTTCACAATGCCTCAGGTTATACTGTGCAGATGCCTCACATGCTTTACCCTCTACCCAGAACTCCCTCTCTTCATCCTCTAAGACACAGATAAAAAATCACCTCATTTAAGGAGCCTTTACCAAAATCTGTCTCCAAACACACCTTATAGGGATGAATGGCATCTAGAATCTTACTATATGCCTGTCACATGATAGGATGGTAAACATTCAACAAATAAATTGGATATGTAAAATAATTATTTAAATTAAATAGATTTTTCCCTAAGAAAAGTAATCATGAAAAGTTATCATGATTCCACCTAAAGGGTGGCAAATACAGACAATAAGATTGCTCAATTACCACACCTGTTTCTCTTTTGAGAATTCAAATATAGCAAAACTATAACCATAAAGGTCTTAAAGTATATGATATGATATGTCTAGTCAGTTTCATACTTTGATACCACATTGCTGTCCTAACTTAATATCAATCTATTCATCTTGGTGTTAAAATTTTATAATATGAAGCTAACATATTTATCTTTACTCAATCAGAGTTGACAATTCAACTCCACATTTATTCTGTCTTCATCACATCTCCCATTCAATCCAACTCTAATGTCATCTCTTTCATAAACTCTTGCTTGAATTGATCCAACAAAACACTACCTTTTCCTCCACAACTTCATTAGTGGCTGTCTGATGGCTGTCACATCCCATTTTATGGTTCAGTTATACAGTTGTCTCATCTTCCTCCTAACTCAGTGCTACCTAGACCTCATGTTTCTGTAGGTCAGAAATGTGTTTTAATTCTCTTCATCCCTAGATATGCCTTGTTCCAAGAGATACTCAAGAAATATCTTTTTAATTCAACTGAAACACAACTTTTATATTGGTTGCAGAGTGGCATCCTGTGTTCTGCAATACTACACAAATGTGTGGACTGTACAGACTTTGTTATAATTTGTGTCTCCATGTTCCGTCAAAGCTTCCTGTGGTCATAGACTATTTTGAAGGTGGCTGAATCTAGAGTGTGTGATGGATTCATGGTGGGACTAGGCCTGAGGGCACTAGGATTGAGAGCATGACTGTTACCCACCCTATGTAGTCTGAATAAGATAAAATTCTTTTTAGGGAGATGTTGTTAAGGTCTCTTGCTTTTGCTCTCTTCCACTGCCATGAACAGCTGCCCCTCTGCCAGCCTTGGAGCCAGCTGATTATGGACTAAAACCTCTAAGAACTGTGAGCTAAATAAACCTTTCCCCCTTTAACTTTGAATGTCAGGTATTTTGTCTCAGCAATGAGAGAAAAGTAATTAACACAGACTTCAAGTCAAAAAAGAATATCAAAGGGGGAAGAGGTAATGTATATACTCCAAATAAAGTTCCTATACTCATTAAAGAACTCAGAAAATATACTTAACTATTTAGAAATAAACAAGTACACATATAGTAAAGCTATGAGACAGAGACAGTCACTGGTTTTTCATTATTGTTTGGAGAATTACAGTGATGTAAAATATGAAGATGTGAGAAGCTGGCTTAGTCCTCAGATACCCAAGGAATACCCCCTGCCTCAATGCTACCTAAAATCTTCCACATTGCTGTCCGACATTTTTAGCCTTGTCATACTGCCTAAAATTCTATTAATTACTGGATTACATAAATATGTAGACATCATCTTATGAAGTGTACATTTTCCACCTAGCAAACTTAATCAAACCTTTTACTGAATAAAACCAGGAAAAACATAAAAAGCTTCTGTTTTTAGGCTGAAAAAGTATTGAAGGTTTGTTGCATCGCAGCTCCAGAGAAGGGAGCCCAAGGAGATAAATCAGACATTTGCATCATTCGTCTCCTTAAGGAATTTGGGAGTGAAAAGCAGAGTCTATGATGTTGCAAGGTACCACAGTAAGGAATAGGAAAGCTGAAAAACTGAGAAGAGCTACTAGGTGACTTTCAACAGTAAAGTAACAAGAACTGGACTCTAAGGTCTGCTGAAGGGGAATTCTAATCTAAACCACATTTTTGTTTAGGATACTGAAAGACTATATCAGATATGATTGTAACATATGATGAATGGTTAAGTTTTAAAATGTATTATGATATAAAACACACTGCCATTGACACTTCTCAAAATACCTACACCACCACCACCCCAAACACACTTATCTCCTCCTTCTTGCCACTTCCTGGAATTTCTCTTTCATGTCTTTTCACAGCTACCTTGATGTCCTGAATCTATTCAGAACTTTTATCTTTTCTGGTTATTTTGATTTGAGGGAAGAGTCATAAGTCACACTGTGGGAGATCCAGTGAAGAAGGTGGGTGAGAACACATTGTAATGTTTTTATTTGACAGAAATTGCTGTAAACATTTTGAATTGGTTCAGGACATGGAGGCAGCCAGGACACAACTAATGAAAGAGGACTTAGAAATGGTTCAGAAAGTAACAAGAATGCTGAGATAAGTGTGTTCAAAGTGAAGGGGCATATTTTAAAAGAGATTAATGGGTATTTTACTACAATAATATTTATAATTTACATACCACATTTTTCTATCCCAACTCAATCTAAAATAAATTGTAATTTTAAAAACATTATTTTTCCAATGAACTGAAGCCTACCTTTGAGTCACTTCCATCACCAAAGGTACTGAGGTAATGTTCTTCTAAACTATCTCCCCATCAGAAACAAGGGAAACCTCTCATGGAAAATCACACAACATCAAGAGCCTCAAATCATCTCTAAACTTTTACATGGACAATGTCTGGCATTCAGTGAAAAACAAACAGGCATATTAAATGGTAAGAAGTGACTGGAAGCCAAGAAAAAAAAACCAACATAAACAGAACCACAAGTATATTGGAATGATCAGAAATGAATTTAAACTGTAATTAATGAATTCAAAAAGTGAAAAAGACAAGATAGACAAGGTCAATAGAAAATAGAAAACTTTAAAATAATCAAATAGAAAGTTCTGATGTAGAGTAAGATTATCAAAATGAATAATTTAGTCAAGGAATGACATGGCTGAAGGGAAGATTAGCTAACTTGTACATAAAACAAAAAAGACATTAAAACATAGATTTGAGTAAAACAACTAAAACATTTAACTTCATGGACATATATAGAACACTGTGCCCAATAATAGCAAAGTACATGTTATTCTCAACTGCACATGGACAATTTTGCCAAAATTGACCATTTGTAGTCATAAATCAAACTTCAACAAAATTCAAAGGTCTGAGATCATGTGAGTACAGATATATTATCTGACTATAATGCAATTAAAACACCAAGCAGTAATACAGACATTTAGAAAATCCTAAATGTTGCAGTACTTCAAAAATAAATAATATAAGTTAGAAAATATTTTAAACTGAAAGATAAAGAAAATACACTTATCAAAAACTATTAGGAGACAACAAAAGCTGAACCCAGAAGTGTAATTTGTAGCTTTCATATTACTAAAGAAAAAGACTAGAAAATAATTAATCAAACATTCAAGAAGTTAGAAAAAGAAGCTCCCACGTCCCGCTGCTCCTGGCCCAGAGGAAGGGGCTTCTGAGATGCCATCCCACTG